GACCAAATAAAGGTTTAAGAAGTGCTGTGAAATCATCTGGGTCGGCTGGGAATGGTGAGTCAAAGCAATGTATCCAAAATGTTCGTTTGACAACCAAAGAAAACCATTGTGAGGAAAGCAAAGCTAAAATGGCAGTGGACCCGGTGTATTTTGAAATGACACCTTCAGAAAGTTCACTTCAACCCGTTTCTGCGCCTCCCCAAAATCAGTTGGACTGTTATGTAAAATTAGATTATATTGTCGAGCCTGTTGTGGATGAAAAAGAAAAGAGCTCTACCGTGGCAGATGAAGTTTTTCCCACAGATGCTGAAGCCAGTTTCAGCAGCAACACCATCCTCTCTAGTCTAAGGTCTACAGCAAGAGGGGTTACCTCCAGGCCCAGGAGAGCAGATAAGAAAAGTAGAAGGTGTAGGGTTTTCCAGAGTAGAAAACAAAAAGGTGCAGAGGTGACCAACTCGATCACTATGGAAGACGCAGACCTGGCTACACGCTCATCAGAGAGCAGCCCCTCAAGGAGCCTGTTACGCAGCTACTCCTGCCCAGAGATCCCTTCTATCCGTCACCATGACACGACCTGGACCTCCGCTCTGAATTCGCCTCATTACAGGAGGATTTACACACCACACCAGCATCAGTCCTCACAATCACCCTTTGTCCATCACTCCCACAAATCCCTGCGGAGGGCTCGTCGACACACGGTCTGCAGTCTAGAAGTGGAGAGGGAGATCGCCCCTCTCTGCCTCCGTAAGGAGGTGTACCCATCCAGAAGATCTGTCCCGTACGACTCGTCCACCCAGCACCTGTCTCCAAGTCTTGCACATTCTCCCTCCACTTCCCTCACAGCACTTGCATCATTTTTCCTCTCAAGCCCCCTGGCTTTCCTCTCCAAGAAGGCAGACAGCAGAGGAGCTGCAGTCAGCCCAAGCACTTCCTCCCATGGTTCCTCTCCTTTGTCCTCTTTGATTTACCCGCAGAGCCCCTTCACATGGCGCCTCCCGGGATTCCTCCAAAGAACTGATTCCTCCAGTGCTACCATGGACTCTAGTAGCAGGTAAAATCTGTAAAACTATGTTTCATGATAGTACCAAGTGTTCAGCACATTATTGAGTCTAACTCTTGGTTTCTCTGCAGTGGGAATCCCATGGAGTGTGAAATTGAGAGAAGAGGACAGAGTGAAGAAGAGGATGACGGTGAAGACACAAGCTCATCCAGTCAGGAGTTTGAAGATGTAGCACTGAGGGAGGAAAAGGCTTTCTCTGATTCTGAAATCAAGGTATGCATTATTTCCCACATTTTTTGGGGGGACTTTTTATGCCAAATGTCCTCTAACAGACATGACACCAGCAGGTCATTAGTGTGTTTTATGTGTTTGTCCTGATATCGACCTTATTTCCAGTTTAGTAAGTCATATTGGATGACTTTAAACCTAGTCTATTACAACAGTTGTGCCATTCATCCAATTATTATTTAAGTTTTGTTGAAACTATTTACTATTTATTTTGGTCAAATGCACAACATTTGTAAAGTATTTAAAAGTCATTAAATATTAACTATCAGTCGGTGTTTAGTGCAAGAAATCAAATAGTGGTGACACATTAAGTACCACTTGATGTTTTGGCTCATAGAAATCATAATTGCACTTCAGCAACTCTGCTGTGCTTTGTTTCTCTTTGCTTTCTTTTCTGCAGACATTCTTTACCAGAACATTTGATGGTAATCTTGGAGCGAGTTGTCGTTGTCCTGTTCTACTTATTTTTCCCTGACATCACTTTGCTTTTGTCACAGCTCCATTGTGGAATGCTTTCAAAAGGATACTATTTTTTTCCTCATCACAGGTGGTGCAGAAACTTGAGGAACGAGGGAAGGTGTCATCTATAAGAATTCGAAAAACATTACCCAAACCTCAGAACAACCTGACACCCATGGGCCTGCCCAAACCCATCAGGCAAGTACCCTGTTGACATGAGTGGGTGTCTGTGTAATCTGTAGATCAAGGGTTCTGTATGTGTGACAGAAACATCCAAACTCAAAGATGCACACATTAATGTGTTTGGTACTTTTAACCAGTAGCTTAGCTGTGGGTCAGTCATGTTTCAACAATTCTACCACACTTTCTTAGACACCCATAAGTAACATTAGCAAGTTCAGGTAGACAAAGAGAAGGGGAATTCTGCACGGGTTCCTCAGTTGAAAAATTAAGCACTTTTTTTTTCATCCATAATTTTCAACCCTTAATTAAACATTATTCAAGTTAATGGTGAATAGTGACAAGTTCAAAGGGCAATCTTAAACAACAGTTTTCTAGCTGGTATTAAATGTCAGGGTACTTCAGATCTATATGGATGCAGTCTTGTTGTTAAAGAAATTCTCTTCTGACTCTAAATGTTATTGACTTGATGTCCAATAATCAGTGTAAACTTTGATACAGTCCTTTTTAAAATTCCTCTATCACGATTGAAAGTAGGACAGATTGTACTGAGTCACAATCTGTCCCTTCATTGAAAACTATCGAGCGTTAATGTATGTCAATGTCAATATGTTTGTTTACTATTGAACACTCTTTGATCAATAATCAGGCAGATTATTACAGCATGTGTTTTTTGATGTATGTTCAAACAGGCTGAAAAAGAAGGAGTTTAGTTTGGAGGAAATTTACACCAATAAGAATTTCAGCAAACCACCTGAAAGGTAAGGTCAACATTACACTAATGTATGTTGAACGATGCACATAAACACAAAGACATGCTTGTGCATCATAAAGGTTAACAAATAATTTGTAAAGTTTCTGTTTGTAAAAAGTATTTCCATTTTCTCCAGATGTCAGGAGCTCCTTTTTTTTGTTCCTCATGCGTAGCACGTGTGATAATTGTCGGGTTACTTAATTCAGTCACTTTTCCAGTTTCAACACACATGACGCTGAAAACGTGCTTAAATTAAGTGTGCAGTTTGGAGGTGAAACAGCTCAAGCTTCACTTTCCACACACTGTCACATGTTTGACCAGAGGGTGGCACTAAAGGAATGATCATTTTATTAAGCCAATCAGCTGCAGTACTGAAGGATTCTGCAGCCTGCTGCATCAACTCTCAGTTCAAATTTAGCCTTTATATAATATATTTATAACTTGGTTATTAGTTGGATTTTTGCATTTCTAAAATAATAATGTTTGCACCACAGAGGTTTATCTAGGTAACCACTTCACCATAAGAAGACGTGTCTCATGAGGAGGTGTAAATAATGACATTTCATACAACTATACTGGGAGGTCAAACAGCAGTTATTTTACAACCGTGTTTATTTGCATTTTTTTGCATGCCATTTAGCTTTACAGGAATCCGGTAGAGATCTAATGTATTAATTAAATGATATCATCTTTTAGCAGGACAATGAAACTCTTTCTTTAATCGATGACTTGCATCGTCTCTTTGTTATGACCTTACTTCTAAACTAGTTAGTTTATGCACCAAGTAATTGAGGTGCAGCAATTTTGGTAGCCGGTTTTGTAGTCTCTATTGTTGACTTTCCTCATAATATAAGAGATAACTTACACATAGCTGGTAACTTCCTATGTTCACCTATTGATCAGGATTCATCATTTGTCTTTTAGCCGCCTGGAGACTATATTTGAGATGCCTCTCAATCGCCGGAATGGCTCAGAGTCCTTGTTCGGCCAGAGGCGTTTCAAACGATTTTTGGAGTTTCTGGAGGTAGGAGAGACCAGGAGACCAAAGAAGCCTCTTGTTGGTGTTTTAAAGTCCGGTAACTCATCCTCCAGGACTCGACGAGGGGGCTTCCCTAAAGACGAACCGTCCTTCAGCGTGCAGGATGTGGACTCGCTTCTCTGTGCCAAGCTCGATCAGCTGAATTTGTGGTTGATGCACGATCAGAAAGACAGCTGACAGACTTCTATTCAAAGTTTGAATAATGGCTGCCATTAAAGAACACAGTGCAAGAGATAATGCTGTTCCTATGACTAACAGTTTTTCCAATATGAAGATTCTTACGAGTCTTCCAGCTTTTTTTTTTATATGCACAATCAGCGTATAATGTCTGTGTTGTGGTGACAAGTAATCATTGAAGAAATTAATTCTCAGTCTGTAGCGTCTGTAGCTGGCAAGTTAAAGAAACACATCATAGCACCAAACATGTTTTTCCTCATTGGTTGTAAACATAGTTATTCAATGCATTATACAGTGACTCTTTTTGTTGTTGTCGCTGCCCTCAAACTGTTGCCGCCCATACTTCAACTGGCCTCTTTCTCTCTGCCATACCTGAAACTGACTACAATCAAACTCTATTTATCGCTATAAGTCTCAGACGTTCCCAGCATGTTAGAAATCTAACTTTCTCTCTGGTTGATTTGTCTTTTAAAGGATGATAAAGCAGACTACAGATTTTTCTTTCTCTTTTGCACTCTCATCTGAAAGACAGCATTACATGATGTAAGTAGTAGTGACCTCGCAGCATTTTAAGTTATTTTGAAAGGCAGCTATTTTCTATTGAATGCAGACTAGAACTCGTAAAAAAACAAACAAAAAGCCGTAGAGAGATTTGTATCTGCTGCAACTGATTTCAAAACCACGTTTCTGTCCAAGGACTGATTTTGCTGAGCTCAGGGCAGACCCTGTTTTATCGGTCATTTATTTGTGTCATCGCTGATGTGGTGTTTTGTTGTTTGTAGATTTTATGTTTGAAACATTTCAGCACTCCACAGAGCATTTTTAATCAAGATGGGAGATTCCTAGATTCCACGCTGGTTGTCTCTGGGTTATTTTGTGGTGTCTCTCTTTATATGATTGCAAATACAACTTCTTGACTTGACTGCCTAAACAAGATTTTAAATTATTTTTTTTTGCCAATTTTTTTCCCCATCAGGTTGCCTTAACTGTAAACTTCTTTGGTTTCTAAATGGATGTTTTGAAGGTGTATTTGTGAATGTGACTGTTTTTTTTTTTTTTTTAGGGCATGTCAATAATGCTTCAAGCTACTCCAAGCACAACAGTTTTTTTTGTTATAAAATTGTTATTTTATGTTTGTATAAAAGTACAACATATGAATACATCTGACACTTATAAAATGAACATGGTAACAATGCAATAATGCCAAGAACAGTTTGGAAACCAGAGCAAGACCTCATGATGTTATGATGGAGCACTGCCTTGCCGTTTTGTTCCCAGTAATGACCCAATCCTCCATGATCACGTTTATGTTGATACTCTGTATATTGACAGATTCACTTATTTAGCAACTTTTGTATTTTAAGGTGCAAACATATGGATGAGACGGTCATTACTGGGGAGTAATAGTATTACTCTTTAATATAACATGTAAATGTCCTGTAGTGTCATGTCTCATACTTTAGCTAATGCTGGATTTTATATACTCATTTTTTGCATTGTCCATATGTTTATACATTGTTAAATAAATATTACAGCATCTAAAAAAACATGTCAATGGTTTTACTACTATTTTATATGTAAAAAAAAAAAAAATAGAAAGAAAGTGGAGTAGAAAAGTGTAAACTGGGCAGTGTTTTTCTGCTTCTTGTAAGTGCCAGTTTCTTCATGTCTTTGTGGCTTTCAGAAGGAAGTCCTGTCAGCAGTCAGTGTCTCTGCACAGTCAATCCCACTCCTCATCCTCTGCAGAGGTTGATCACAGGTGATCAGTCTTGCAGAGAGAGGAGATATGAGATCAGTGCCATCAGAATGGGAGTTAAAGCCAGAATGGAAACCCATGTAATGATGGAGATGATGCCAAACTTCTTCGCCTTTCGTGAATGCTCTGCAGCCACCTCGGGGTCTTTTGTCTTCTCGGCCTGTTCAGGATTGGCAAAGTCAGTATTTAAAAAATAAATAGAAACAAATCAGGGAAAGTAAGACATAATGACACAAACACAACTGACAAAATCAATTACACTTAAGTCTTGTTCGGCCATTTAAATTCACTATTATAGCCGTTTTTTTATCAATAATCTTTAATGTTTGTAAATGCCTTAGACCAAAATATGTGTATATGTGCAAAATCAGACATCTGCACATAGCTCTGTATATATATATATTATTTCTTGTTTACTGCACATAGTTCTGGTTACATCTGTTTACATCTTCTAGTCTGATCACTGTCCACTCATATCTACTCTTTTTATATTTTGTATTTTAAGTTAAGTTTAAGCTTTAAGTTGTATTTAAATTGACACTTTCTATTTAGGTTAAAATGTTTCGTCTACTTGCACTGTTGTTAATTTACTGCTCTGTGCGCCTTTGAATTGCCCCCCGGGGACAAATAAAGTTTTTTGAATTGAATTGAATTGATCTCCCTTTTAAGGGAACTAATTATAGTGCTCAATATTTGAATGTATTTGGGAATGACATTTGATTTAATTCTCCTTTTGTTTAGAAGTCTTTCATCTTTTTTTCAACCAAACAAAGCAAGTCAGTAGGACTCATTTCACATCATGAAGAGGGAGTCTCTTAAGGTCCTCAAATCCTTTCTGTTGAACCACAAAGCGGGAATTATTTTACCTAAAAGACCAAAACTCTATGAATGAAATGTTTATTTCTGCTTCAGCTGTACTTTACAGGTAATATGACACTAAAGGAGGACCTCTTTTACTGAAATATCTTTTGGAAGGAAACTCTTGGCAACATTTACAGTAAGTAATCATTTATTCTATGTGCATTTGGGCATGTTAGCATGGATTTATGTTCTGGATGGGATAAAATGAGTAAAGTCAGTGATAAGTTCACTGACACCATAAACTTGTAAGTAACTTTCCATTTGTCAGATGTGTCACTCAGCTGTAGCTTGGAGCAACAAGAAAAGAATGTGGAATGTGCAGCTTTAGGCTCTGACATTTTGACCGACAGGTGACACGTAAATGAGCCGAACAATAAGATACCTTCACTGAGTTTATAAGAGCCATGATCCCGATGCAGGAGATCCCACAGATGATGCTGCAGATGGCGAGTTTCCTGTGGTGTGTGTCGTCACAGAAGGAGGCAGTGCGCTGTCCAGTGCTGCTGCTTGCTTCATGGGTATTATTGTCATTATTTTGTGTGTTGCCTGACCCTGCGATGAGATTCAGTGGCACCTCTTCAGCCACCGTTATACATGTCTGAGGTGAATCAGGCATTTCTGCAAAACAAAAGAGCATGTTGAGGAAAGATTAAGATGTCATATTACCTTAACACTCTTCATATTTTGAGTGATGTGCAAACGAGAGCTATACATTAAAGAACAGCTTTATGGTCTGTGCATGATCGATAACAGCGTGATAGATAAGAGACGTTACAGGAACTGTTTCAACTCCGTGAACTTCTCAAAGTAAATGTTTATTAAAATGTGTCTACCCGATGGCCTTTGGTCTCAGAGGAACTCCTGTGTGTTTTTTAAGACTATTTCTCATACGCAGTAGACTGATGTGTAACATTTTGAATCACAGAGTGACACAAGCACATGTAATCTCTTCTGCTCTATTTTTATTCTTGCTTTCGTTATGACTGTCATAACATGAATCCAGACGTCATCTCTATTGTGTCTGAATGTCAGAGTCTCCCTCCATTGAACTTGAATACGACTGGAATTACCCTGCATGCATTTCACCAAAACCCTGCTGTTAGCCCACAATGTTTGTTGTGGATTCCCAAAGTTAGAGATTACTTTAGAATGTAGGCTACCTCCAGAATCAATAAAAGTATGAATTGGGTGCCAACATTTTAAATTACTCCATAATATTGAATGCCTTTACTTCCTTTTCTCTACCCAGTCTGCAAATGTTTTTCATATTTCAATGATAAAAACAGAATTGTGGGTTCCCTGATTGAACCTTTTGACCTCTGTTTACCACTACACTCACCTGTCTCCTAGGCAACAAGAATGTAAAATAAATGTCTTATTACAAGTCTCGACATGTTCTTGTAAACAATCAGACAGTGTGTCCTCCCTTTGGAGCATGGGAATTTATCTCGATTGAGTATTATTTCCATAAAGGAACAGAAAGTCCCCACTGAACTGTCCAACAATAGGATCAGCATCAAGTGTTCCCTGGGAAAATTTACATAAAAAAAAAAAAAAAAAGCTTGAAAAACTTGTACGATCACATTTACAAAGATGTCAAAACATCCCGCTTGGTCGTCAGCTTGTCATGACAAATGAAAACAAAAAAACAAAAGAATGATATCTAATCTTAAATTTGATCAAACAGCGTCACAGCAGCATGCTCTGCGTGTTTGGACCTCGAGAAAAGACATCAGCAGGGAGTTGATAATAGTTTCATCGTGTAATGTTGCACAGACCTGTGAATCATTGGTAAGAGAGAGGTAATGATTCTGTACACTGCCCTCCCGTGTTGGAGTTCTTAAGTTATGCTGATAAATTGAGTTTCTGTCTCTTAAATAAACCAAGCAGGGGTTCTTACAAAGAGTGTTAAAAAAAAAAGTACTTTTCAAACACAATCAAAAGTCATAAAATAATTCAAATCCCACAGAAAGTTACAAACCTGTTCAATGTCCAATAGAATCTCTTCAGTCTCAAAACACTCCTTTTGTAAATCAAGCCAATTCTTCTCTTGTCAAGTGTAGAGATCTTAATGAGATAGAAGCAGGTGTATTGTCTTCTTGTATCAGAATAAAATTCAGCTGCCCCACAGTGTAAGTCCTTTTAGTAATGAAAGCTTCAGGGACGTTTTCCCGCACGTGCTCATCCAAACACCACTCCTGTCATTGTAGTCGAAGCTCAAAACCACATCAGCTCTGAAGCCGCCCTGTCCCTATGAAAGCCCGGAGTCGTATAAGTTGTTAAATGACAAACCGAATGGAGAGCTGGGAGTGAAACTCTCTTGTGTGAAACTTCCACGCCCATTTTCTGTGCAGGTTCTTTCCTTCTTCTGCTATTCCTTCCCTCCCACACGTACACTTGTCGAACCCTTCCTTCACTCATTAGCTCTCATGTTCTGTTTCTTGTACATTGGAGGTTATAGACTTCCTCTCTCCCCTTCAGGCACATTTTCACATTCTGTAAAATGTTACAACCTTTCCCTCACTTCTTTCCCATACTGCATTCCTATGGACTTGGGAAAGGTGTGTCAGCACTTGTCTTGCCTCAGGGGTGAAACAGTCACAGATGCCAGTGTGCCTCATTCTTTTCTAAACCTAAGTTTTCCTCCTTTTTAAAAAAAAAACAAAAACAAACTGGAGCTGTTTTGGTGAATCTCTGCCATTTTATACATTATTTTCTTGGCCCCATCAGCCCTCTTTTTGTAGTATCTATCATCTGTCATCCCTCTGATCTATGACCCAGAGATAAGAAATATTTCCTCCCCTTTTGCTCAACAGTTGATGACGACCTGGCTGCATTTTTCCAGAAATGACGCCACTCACTGTGAACTCTGCCATCATGACAGACAGTCAGATCTGCCCTTATTGGGAAAAGAGGGCTTGTGAAAACGAGACTGGAGTAAATCTCTAGTCTAAATGCATTGGCTCAAATAACAGGAAGCTAAAGGTGATGTCATCAAGGTGAGTTATTGAGTCATACCATCAGTCAGATGGTATCTGTCCTGACTCACACATCCATTCTCAAGAAGTTCTTCTTCACCTGAAATTCACCTGTAATTTTTTTTTTAAATGACCCATTGTTATTTACATTAATGCAAACTGCATAAAAACAAAAACGTAAATGTTAAAAAATAAAAAATAAAACTATAATAATGAGGCTTTCCAAAAAAAAAAAAAAAACAATCATTAAATAAAGTGAGTTGGAACTTCATCCTTTCGATTTGTTACCTTTTTTTTAATCTTATCTTCAAGGTCGACGTGTTGATTTATTACATGTTTGATTTGGCACGTGTACCTTAATGACGTCAAGTTTTCTTGTTCTAAACATATTACTGTGATGGTCCTTTAAATAAAATAATAATAATAAATAAATAAAAAACACTAAAATTGGAGCCACGCCTTCCACTCTAAATGAACCAATGATGAATCGCCCCCACAATGAGGGCGGAGAAAGAAAAAAAAAACACGGAAGTGCTGCAATGAAAACAGGATAGGAGACACGTATTGCCTGTCTCACTTTCTGCAGAGCACAAAATGCGCTTCACTTAAACACACTTCGGTTTATTCCAGGCTGCGAGAATTGTTCGGTTTGTATACATTTTCAGCACCGCTCTGCTTTCGCTCCAAACATATCGTCATTATGGAGAAAGACACTGATGTGGTTCTGGCGACAGAGAGGTATGGCAGTGCAGAGTCCTGGAAGTATTCAGCCAAGGATGGAGTGATGGAGAGGAGAAGAGATGGTGGTGAAAGTGAATCCAGAGGAAACACCTTTGTTGGAGTTTTAAAAGTAAACAACATTTCCATACACCTTAACTTGTTTTACTTTAGCTCCTCCTCTTGACTCCCGTTTGACTCACTCTTTTCTGCAGAGTGTTTTTCTGCCTCAAGGCTACCCAGAGAGTGTCAGTAACGATTACCTGCAGTACCAGTTTTGGGACACTGTGCAGGTAAAGTCAACGACACACTGTTTGATTAAACTATTGGAATCTTTAACCGGCAGATTGAAACTCTTCCTGCACACTCCTTCTCTGTTTGTCAGGCTTTCTCCAGCTCGCTGTCAGGGACTCTGGCCACTCAGGCCTCTCTCAAAGGTGTCGGGGTTGGAAACCAAGAGGCAACAGTAGCTGCAGCCACAGTCACATGGCTACTTAGAGGTGATCACTAACAATATATCAAACATTTACATTTACATCTTCATAGGTGAACCAGCCTCAACTTATTTAAAAAGCACAACCATTCATTTCCTGCTTGGCCAATTAACCAAAGCGCCATCATAATCTTTCTCTGCCATAAGAGCTTATTTTCCTCCCCCCCCCTCTTCTTTAATTTGTCTCTTTCTTGTTTTGCTTTCTTTTACACCTTACTGAGTATGTGTTCTTGTTAGCTGTATTGTTTTTGCCTGGACTACATTAATAATATGTCTCTGTGTTACATGTTTCTCTTTAGGAGGGCCACTCGACAAGCCCCTCTGGGTTCATTTTGGCTCCTCCAGCACATTTCTTTCAAAATGTATAGTTTGTTAATTAACTAATCATTATGTACTGTCTGTTTTTCCATTGATCTATTATGTTTATGTTTTTTTTTGTGTGCAATTAATACAAAAATCAAAAAACCTGTTCACTTATTGTGTCCTCTATAGATGGAACTGGCATGTTGGGAAGAATCCTCTTTGCTTGGCAGAAAGGGTAGGTTTATAGTTTCCAGTTTTAGGAAACAAATGACTCTTTATTTGCACTTTTTCTCTTCACGATCTGTTGCTTTGTGTCTTTGTTCTTTAGAAATAAACTGGACTCAGAGGCCAAAAAATGGAGGTGTGTGTGACTGATTCAAAATGAAGTGATTTAGATTCCTATTCCAGAAGCCATTTAAAGAGCTTTTCTTCGATTTCCTGTCAGACTTTTTGCTGACGTTCTCAACGACATTGCCATGTTCATGGAGATATTGGCTCCATACTTTCCTGCTTTCTTCATTCTGATTGTGTGCACAGCTGGGATATTCAAGGTAGGAAAACTGTCAATAGTTTCATTCAGCTGGGTAGAAAAAATAATCTTTTTAATAGTCGATTAAAGGCACTGGAGAAACGTGCGTCAGGTTGTAGACCCTCTTGTGAAATAATCATTTTGATCAAATGTAAATGTAAGCATTGCAGATAAATATAAGCTGACTTAGTGAATTTATTTCTGTTTTTCCTCACAAGTCCATCGTTGGAGTGGCAGGCGGTGCAACCAGAGCTGCTCTGACTGTTCATCAGGCTCGCAGAGACAACATGGCTGACATCTCGGCAAAAGACGGCAGTCAGGTTGATATTTTTTTTTGGGACTTTTCTGTGACCTATGTTTGTTTCTTAGTGTGGAGCAAACCACATTGAACAGCGTGGTTACTTACTGAAATAATGTACACTGTTTTGGCCATTTTCCCATGTTTCCCAAAACAGGTTTTCTGAGAAGGCAGTGTGTCTAATATTTGTGTTTTTAAATTCCACAGGAGACTCTAGTCAATCTGGCTGGACTGCTGGTTAGTTTGATACTCATTCCCCTGGTCACTGATAATCCAATGTAAGCACTGTCATGTTGAATATTTGAATCTTACACAATGCCTTACTTGAAGAGTCATTTACATTATCTGCTCATGTTCCTCTTCTGTCTTTCTCTCCTCTCTCAGACTGACTCTCAGCCTCTTCTTTCTCTTCACCGTCCTCCATCTCTTTGCCAACTACAAGGCTGTGCGGTCGGTCGTCATGGAAACCTTCAACGAGGCGCGGCTTTCAATCGTTCTGCGGCAGTACCTGAGAGACAAACGGATCCTGAGCCCACAAGAGGCCAATCAAAGGGAACCAGTTTTCATTGGTATGAGTCATACATTTTCTGATTGTGCTGCTAGTTTGTGACACATTTGACTCAAAGCTATGAAATGTGCATTGAATATGATTGATTCTCCTGTTTTTCACTAGAGTTCAGAAACACTGTGCCTATCAAACTTGGAGTGAGGCTTCAGGAGGTTCTACAGAGGTAATTATGTGCTCTATTTTGGTTTTTATGACAAATAAATACATTCATGCAAACAATAAAAATGTTAACATATTTCATATAATTTTCCCTGTTTTGTAGGCCAGAGGAACTTAATCTAGCTTTGGAGCAAAACAACATGCCTTACCTGTTAGGAGTTCAAAATGGTATGTCATCTTCCTTCAGGCAAAAACTGTGTGATTAATGAATAGGAATGTGGCATAATTTTACTTCTTTTAAAATCTGTCTTCCCGCCAGGTTGTGTTTGTGTTTGCTTGCGGCCAGAAGCATCAGTACATGATGAAATCAGAGCAGTGTGCCAAGCTGTTTGGCTCAGCAGCAAGTTGATCACTTCAACTTCAAGAGAAACCCTGAAACAACCAAAGCAAAGTGAGTCTTTACTTGTGTTTTTAATTTATTCAATCATGTTAAAAAGCTTCTATCATCCTTTATTCATTATACACTTTTTTTAAAGGTCACTGGGAAATGGTGCACGAGAGTCACAAGGTGATGGACACTGTTTTCAGTCCTTTTCTCAAAGGTAAACACACACTGACAAACTTTTTTAAAACTACAAATCAGCATCTTATCTTTTTTTTTCTTTCTAAATCATAAGTTACCAACAGAAACATAGCGTTACTCACAGTTACTTAACATCGTGTTATTTCCAGGAGTGGAAGCAGCGGGATGGGACACAAAGAGAAATCTGTTGGACTGGGATGAGTGGAGGGTCGAATGGAAAACTAAAAGCAACTGAGCAAGAACATCTAATACCATTTGAAAATGTTAATATTTCATTTTTTTCCCCAACATTTTTAATAAATATTGATATTTTCATGCAATTCTTGTTTGATTCTGTATGAGTTAAAAATGACATTGATATACAGGTGGTTTTTTAGCATATAACTCATTGAATATTCTTCAATTTTATAATTTTACATTTTATTATTGTTGGATTTTTTTTTTTTTGCATTCGCTGTTCTGTCTTATTTCCACAAGGGGGAGGTGTTGCGCATTTATTTGCAACCAACAACTCACGAAGAAGAACAAAAAGAAAAGTGTGTCAAGGCCTCCAGATTGTATAGACTACTACCGGAAATGATCATTCACTGTCAGTAAAAAAAATGATGCACTAGTGCTGTGAATTAATTACATAAACCAGGTTAAAGACAAGATTCAATAAAGGAAAATATATATTGAGCTAAATACTACCCTGTTGCAGGATTTTGTTCATGCTGCTTCACTTTAAAGAACACCAGTGTGAGGCTCTTATTCTGAAAGGTTACCGGACATGACGTGGAATTGCTACTTGCTTGTTTCCGATAACTCCAGAAACAAAATCCCTCGGTTTGGTCGTAAGTTTATCTTAATTGTGAACGAAATGGGGAGATACAAATGTGCATACAACTGCGAAAACTCCCACGAATCAGCTGTTAAGTTTTTTAAGTAAGTATTGTTTGTTGTTAAATGAATAAACTGAGTACAGCTTGCAGAATACTAACACTAGTCAGTCAGCATTCACAACATCAGCTGTTTTGTGTAAACGTAGTTATCTTTAGAGCTGTGCAGTTTTTGTTGTTTATGTGGTTTTATATATTATAATAATATATCAGCGTTTTTAAAAACATTTAATTATTATATTTCTGTGAAGAACCAGATTTATGGACAGTTTTAAATTGAGTTATGCGTCACATTAAAAAAAAATAATAAAAAAAAAAGCAAACATCGATGTTAGTGCTGTTTTAATGAGTTATATTTGTCGCTGTAGGTTTCCACTATACAACCCCCGAAAACTGAAGAAATGGCTGAACAACATGAAGTGGGATGACTGGACTCCGTCTCGTTTCTCGGTGCTGTGCAGTCATCATTTTGAGGAGCAGCACATCGACAGAACAGGGAAATGTGTGACACTAAGAGACGATGCCATCCCCACCATATTTTCTCCTTCTGTTGACACACAGAAAACCAAGGTGTGTAAGTCATGCTGTGAAAACAGAACGTTAGCGAAGTGGAAGAAGTAGTTTTGATTCTCTCCAGTGATGATGCGACATGTTGTGCTGTCCTCTTTCCTCTGATTCAGGCTCCCATCAACCCGAGAAGAAAGCAAAACAAGGTCAGAGCATATTGCATACAAACCCAAACTGCCACCAGCTGTGACTCGGCTGTCATTTGAGAAAGCTTGTTGTTTACTAAACTTCTAAAACACTGAATTTCACAGACAGTTCTGTTATTATTCAAGCTGTTCGACCAGTTCTGCTTCTCCTTTTTGTAAACCCAGCCGCCTGCTGTGAAAGCCTCAAAGACGAGTTCAGCTCAGTGTCCAACAACCACTCGCTCCACATCAAAGCCTGACATCCAGAACAAAGAGGCCAGCCAGACAGAAGAGCCTTCCCGGTATGTTGAAACACAAGCTAGAGTAAAAAGAAGTAAGTTTCATATGCGGATTTCCCTGAGTCATTCCCAAACATATTTCATCCTAAAGAGAAATCAAGGGGGGAAAAAAACGACTGAATCAGAAAAAGCAGGAGGCTAAATACTGATAATAAGTCCTTTTGTATTTTGATCTCACCTGTTTGAAATGTGTTGCCTCTATATTGAGTTAACCTTTTATTGATTGCAGAGACGAAGAGCAGAACAGGCCTGAAAGATGGAGGATTATAGTCGACGAAGGACTCATGAAGATTGAGTCATTTCCACATTTCTTCCATGGAGATTACTGCGTGCCACAGGTGTTTGGTGTTTTATGATCTAAACCAGCGGGGTCCAAACTTTTTTTTTCTTGCGGGCCAAAATTGTCGTGTTAGAATCGCTCGCTGGCCACAGGTTTTGTTTTTTAAAATATAGTTGGAAAAGTAGTAAGGCTTTGTAGATCAGAATCGAAAAGGCTCGCAAAAGAAACCCTTTAAGAAAAGGAAATCAAATATTTTGATTTCTTCGTTCTACTTACTGTTTTTTTTCTCAGGATCAAGCCTGTAACGTGGTTCTTTTTTTTTTTGGAAAAGCTTTCTGCATTTAGCTCAGGTCATTAAACGGTTAAACAATAGTCTGCTCGTTTGAAAAAACTTTGCATATGTTTTTTTCATAGTTTACAAAAAAATGTGGAAAATAGTAAAAAGCTGTAGATTTAAAAACTCAACAACATACATGTTACTGAACATTTTCAATTTGAGGAATATTGTTCAGCCCGTGTTAACATGAAAAAGAAAAATAAGATGATGTGCCAATCTTAACCAAGGCCTCGGGCCAAAATCTTCTGATTCTTCATTTGAAGTCACGGGCCGCAAAAAAAAATCCCCTCAAGGGCCGCAAATGGCCCTCGGGCCGCACTTTGGACACCCCTGATCTAAACAGTATAACAGTTGCTTCTTTTTATTTACATGCAGCGTGACACACATCATATTGAAATCCTTTGTCGGCCATATTTTTAGCTTCTGTTTTGCAGTTGATTATCTGTCACTGTTATATTTAAATCATGTTTTCTGTATCTCTCTGAATGCACCAGCAGGATGTTCAGTGGGCTCCAGACGATGATTTAAGTGTAAGTAATCCTGTTGATTCTAAATGACATCAAATTGTATTTTATAAAATAACTTCTATACAAACAAAGTGTTTTAATTCCATACTTTATTGCAACTTCCACAGGCAGAATGTAAAGATCCTGAAAAGATGATCGAGGTAAGACTTTAAAATCTAATCTTTTTTTAATTTTATTTTTAAGATTTTCAAGATATTTTGGGGCTTTTTATGGAGGGAATCGGGGAGAGAGAGTGGGGAATGACATGAAGGAAAGAAGCTACAGGTGGGATGTGAACCTGGGCCGCCCGCGTGAGACGACAGCCTCCATACATGGGGCGCGCACACTAACAACTGCACCACCAGCGCCCCTAAAATCTAATATTTTACTGAGCGTATATTTGCAAGCAAAAAAAAAAAAGAGGCCTGAATTGCTTGTAATGAGTAAAAGTAGCTGCCAGTGCAACAAGCAGTGTTACGTCTCACTTAAAGGACTTAACAAGCTTGAAAGGCTTGACGTAGTTTCTTCATTCACATAGTGTTTCCACATGATGTAATGTTTTGTCTGCAGGTGACAGAGCCGTGGCAGTGGCTCGGTCTGGATGTCAGAGGAGAGCTGCCTGAGACTCTAAACGGACACAAATACATGTTGACTGTGACAGACTTCTTCTCTAAGTGGGTAGAAGCTGTACCTTTGGAGGCCTTCCTCCCAGAACATGTAGCGAAGCACATCGTGGAAATCATCGCCCACTTTGGATACCCGCTCAGGATCCTCTCCAGACTGCCGCATGACATGGTCCAAAAAGTGAGTGCATTAAAGACTGAAGTGCTGCTTTTTTGGAAAACTGTCCTCCTAATTGTCGTATCAGTTTTGAACGAGTGAATCTGAGTTCAACATATACCGCCTGCTTTTTCACTTGGAGGTTCTTTGAAAACAAACAAACTAAGATGCCTTACATCAACCAAAGTCTGTCATTGGTCGGTTCAATTGAAGCATCGCAAGCAATGTTCCCGGATAATTGCCTGATCACATAAGTGCTGACTATTTGTTTGCATGAGATGCTCCCCTATCTCTACCATTTATCCAAAATGATGTGGATAGACTGACAATCTGTTGTTTTTGACTGCAAACAACTTTTACTGAATTGACATCAGAACCTTTTTTTGTAGAACTAAACATCTGTGTTTTATTATCACCTCATCAGCTAATGTCTCGACTTACTGTGTCTCCATTCTAGATCAACAAAGAACTGAAGGAGCAGCTGAAGATCACCATTGCTCTTGTCGTCCATCATCAGCAGACCGGCACCGCAGATGTGATCACAGAGCAGCTGATTGACAGGTCTGTCCTTAAAGTGATTTAAAAAAAAAAAAAAATACAAGTTTAACAGTTCCAATGTTTATAGCTGTTTGCAGTAATTAGAATGCAAATGATTCTGGTGTTAAATGTGTGGTTGAGATGATTGGCCATCAGTCTTTTTGGAATGTGATGTTTAAGAAGTTGCAGACGTCTAACCCAGTAAAAGACATATTTAAGCTTTGTCACCACAGAAAATTCCACACATTAATAACTTCCATGTAACTATATATCTGTATTTTATTAATAGATCTAATGGCAGAGGAAATGACAAGTACGTTACATCAACAAGTGGGATCAAATGTGTACAGTAGCTCTCGTCAAGTGTAGCCTGTATTTTCTATCCTTTTTAAAGTGATCAAGGACACTTTTTCACATTTTTTTTTTTTTTTTAAGGATGGTCAATGAGCTAATAGAAGAGCACGCTCCTGACTGGGACGTTTACCTGCCTGCAAAGATATTCAGTCTGTGCTTCAAGGAGAACTCACAGACCAAAGAAAGACCCTTCTCAGTGCTCTGCTGTAAGGAGCTGGAGCTGAAGAAGTCTCCCAGAGAACTGGGCGTAAGTGTCATTGTTGAACATCTGAGTTTGGTTGTTCTATGAACTGTATTTTGACCTTCATGGTTTCTGACTCTCTTCTTCACAGTTTTCTAATTCCAGGGTCCAGGACAGTGCTTTTGTGGTGAGATAGGGTCAGCTAATATGGTGAGTTGGATTTATTTAAAGTATCTGGTGTGAGTACATACTAAGATTGAAATAGCATTTCTACTTTTTAAAACAAGAACATCATTTATGAATTTGACATATTTGTAAAACTTGTCTCACTCATGATTATTATTTTTCAGATTGGTTTTATGAGAGGAAAAAAAAAAGCAGGATCATAACGCTGACTTTTGTCATGGTTAAATGCTGGACTTTGAGTGTACATCATGACCACAGTGGGAACCAGGAGAACCGCATGACGAGGCAGATGGAACGCCACACGTTTCTCTTCTCCCAGCAACTCAAGTCAACTTTCAACCTGTTAAATTATTTGTGATGTATATTCACTTGTACCTATTTATTTCAGCTCAGTACAAAGGCTTTCACAGTCCTGTTTAGTATTTAGTTTAAGATGTCAACATTATACAACTATGAATTGTCTTAAAGGATTAACAGAACATTGATGAGATCCTGAAAATGAATACGAATGAAGAGAGTTATTTTTTAGGTTTAGAAAGGAGATAGTATGAGTGTGAAAAATACAACATTTTTGTGCTAACATCAGAATTGTTTTTGCATTTTGTACGTAAGCTTCCTGTTACAGAAGCCACAAAGTGGTACAATTCTTCCGAGCAATCAAATTGTTACATTTAAGGCTACAGCTTTTGATTGATTTTGTTTTGTGTCCATTAAATTTAAAACATTTCATGAATTTAATAAAATTGCTTGGATTTCACATGCAATATGCAAAAAAAAAAAGAAAATGTCTTTGTGATGTATTACTGGTTTATAAAAACAAGTGAGCCATTAGCACAATAAATGGTCTACTTTGAACTACTGTTAGCATTTACACACGGAAATGATTTCACTATATGAAGAACATTCAACAAATGAGAATCACATTTGTTGTTCCTGAGATGAATCTACAACCATCAGGCCACTTTAGATATGCAAAGACAAGTTTTGGAGAGACTGATTACAGATTTATGACTGGAAACAACTACAGCCCTTTTTCCGTAAGGTTTAATTCAAAATATGTCAAAGAAAACCCCATATAAGTTACAGGAAAATAGCTCAATGGGAAAGTTTCCAACAAAGCATTTCTCAATTTAATAGCTTTATTCCTTCTGTGCATCACACTTTTTTTTGCTATAATTCACATGAAAATTAAGCCACTTTGTCACAACACCATAATAAATGAGAAAACCCCCCAACTGATTGTAGCTGATGCCCTGAATTGTATGTCACAGCTGTTGTCGGTTCAGCTGTCTCACTGCGGCGACAGCTGTTAGCAGGCAGAGGAGAGGAGGAAATGAGTCCTTCATATAAAAGAAGCAACAAGTGCAAAGAAACAGCTGTTTGCTTTACAAGGAAGGGAGTCAATGTGCAGGTTTAGAAATGGTCTGATGATGAAGGCCTGTTCAGAATGGTTGAAAAGTATTTTGATCCTTAGGTAGTTTCACCTGAACCAAAGGGAGGCATGTTGCTCATTAGAAAGCTACCTCTCTCTATATATTTTTTAAATAATAATTTATTTTTTTAGACTTACTGTAAATGCCTCTATGTTTATTTAAAATACATGACCCATGGGAGGGGTGGGAGGGGGGGGGGGGCTGTGAAAACTCCAGGTTTGCAGGGTTGTGTTGTCATCCTCTTCTTTTTATAATTTATTTTATTTTTTTCATTGTAATTATGACAATGAAATGGATGCATGAATTACTACCTAATGAATGTATTGGATGATATTCACCTGTAAAGGCTGTCAAAATAAATAAAAAGGTGGTCAAAAAAAAAGGGAAAAAAAAAAGTAATACGTCAATCTTCAGTCTTAAACTGTGTTCATAGCAGAGCAGGACATTTTAAAGAAAGTAAAGAAGGCATCGCTTTTATCTTTGACGCAGAACAGCCTGATATTGTTTCAGTGAGATGAGTTATTTGCTATTATGCTTTTTTAATGTTTACTTAAATGTCATCAACCTGCCAGGGACTGCAGATGTCTAAATCTGGCACATTTATTACATGTGTGACTTTGTTGCTCTTGTTAATTAATGTGCGTTGTCCCTTTTAAATAAAGAAATCTAAAAAAAAAATCTGAAAGAAATCTATTGGATCAAGGAAATTTATATCAGAGCAAGCGACATGCAGGTGTGATAAATACCTTTTTAATCTGAGAGGTAATGATCTCTATTCTCATGTATTAACAAGTTAAGCAAAACACATTTTAGCAAACAGTTCTTTCAAAGGTCTTTTTATTGATAATAACAGAAAATAGCTTTTACTGTACAGGGAAATATTTTTCTTTTCTTCCCCCCACCCACCCTTAACAAAAACACTCATACATGTCGCAAAACATCCAAACATGAGACAAGCCTAATCCAGACGACAAACAACCACAGCTGCACCTAGAAATCACATTCTGAATAATAAAAGGTCAAGGTCAACAATGAACACATATGTACAGATAAGGGCAGTCCTTCCTGCGAACTCTAAAGGAAGCCGAGTTGCATTTAAGAGTTATGTTGGTATATAGGATGCAGTAACACACCCCAAACTAACAAAATACTTGGACGAGAAAGAGAAAAAAATAAAGAAAAAACTAAAAATAACATACAGAACTTGACAAAAATAAATAAATCATACCAAGAAAAATAAGGAAAGATCTGGTTAAAAATTCTCTATAAATATAAGACGGGTCCCACTACCGCCACCTAACGGACGGTGTCGGAGTTGCAGGCGCGGCTGATGTGACGTCACAGTTTGTCGCTGTGCAGCAGGAGGCGTTTTTTTTTTTTTTTTTTTTTTTTTTTCAATTCAGAGTGCGACCAACCGCAAGAAATGGTGAGTGAGGAAAAACACACACAGACTCAGTTTGTAACGTCCTGTTGACTGACCGCATATTGATTTAGTTTGCTACACAGTCTTTCTGTTAACACGAAACCAAAAACAATGTTTACGGTCAGTAGCTCGGCTCAAAAAAAAAAGCGGAAAAAAAACAAAAAAAACGAGAATGCCTTTTGTTTAGCTAACCCCAATGCTATCGAGGATTAGCTCGTTAACGTCAACAGTGCGGCTGAAGATAGCTTCACACCGCGTTTTATTTCTAAACACCGGTGTTGGAAGTGTCGCAAGAGAAGAGTCCAAGGAAAATAAAGTCGTTCTTTTGTCTAGCCAACAAACTTTTCTTTTGATGAAATGTCTGGCGAAGCGCGGAGAAGCTAAGTGGCTAAAGTTGTCAGAATGCTGCTCGTCTAAAAAAAAACAAAAAAAAAACAGAATTAACAAACACAGCGTGGATGGTGGTGACAGGTTAACGTCGTCATTCAAGCACAATTAATAATATAATGTTAATTCTGATTTGCAACCAAAAGAAGCGAGCTGTTCTCTTAGTAGCAGATATCATGACAGGCTAGGCTAGCTAATCATGATGCTACAGAGCAGCTGCAGCACCGTGGCTCTTTAAACTCTGCTGCAGAGATCACTGTGACGTTATGGAGTTTATTTATTATACATCTTAACTAACTTATCCTCGACCTGCTGGAGCTGTCAGTTTACACAAGGCTACTAACACACACTGCTGAACCCCTGCCTACTTGTGTTGGTGCTCAATTGAATTTATTTATTTTAAATAGGGACAATGCCAATTTAACATAATTTCAAAGCAAAGCATGAAACTGATGTGCTGCATGAAGAGTATTTAGATATTGCTCATGTGCAACTCGTGTAAACAAACAGATTGAAGTGTACAACATAATATGAGGATGCATTAAAATACATGTACACCAATGCGAATGCTGTAAACCAGTTTAAAATAAAGTTTGAAGATACTATTTATAAGTGGGTACAGCTCTGGCTTGCTTTGAGCATTTCACCTGTTTTGTAAAAAGAGATTCATTTTATTTCAGGTGGTAATGTGTTAACAGCCTTTTGATGGATCAATTTAAGACCTCATTTAGTTTTAATTTAGTTGCCTGCAGGGGTTATAGGTAATAGGTATAATCTGAAACAAATGTTTTGATAGAATAGCCATGTACTGTGGGGCGTAATGCATTTAAGTGAACTCTACTTCCATATACTATATTCTGCATTATCACGAGTTATGATATAAAATGCACCTTGTGCCTTTGCTTAGGCAGTGGCTCAGTTATGAGTGTATTGTTTACGTTTAACATAACAGAAAAGCAAAGACCAACACCACAAAGGTTAAAAACTTGCTGGAAGATTTAAACAAAAAAAAGACTAGTACAGGTAGATTGTGGTTAATTTTTTTCCCAACCATAATGAACTTTATTCCTCTGTGTCTTTGAAATCAACTCACATATTTAACAAAATTCAAGTTTATCTAAAGCTAGTTTTTTTTCTCTCCAAGTGTTGACGTTTTGGAGTATGATTTAAAATACCACATCGTGAATTAAACAGAAGTTGTTCATGAGAATTCAGCGTTGATCGAATGACTAACTTTTTGGGTAGAAAACGTTTCTGTCAGACTACAGTATGTGATCTCCGTTCTCTTTCCTCTGTCCAATGATCTCACGCAGGATGTGTTTCTAATGATCAGACGTCATAAGACGACCATCTTTACAGATGCCAAAGAGTCTACCACAGTCTATGAACTGAAACGCATTGTGGAAGGTATTTTAAAGAGGCCACCAGAAGATCAGAGGCTTTATAAGGTAAACTAACTTCAAACATTACATTTTTTCTTTTGATAGAAATAACTGTGAGCAATGGAAGTTATTTATCATCAAGTATATTAGTGTAATAAGGGGGGAATTAAACATGTACAGAAACTTGCAGCTTTTGTTTTATTGTTGGTGCTTGTCACATTCTGTGTTTTATTATCTATAAAAAACAAATTCATGATTTACGGCTTGGTGATTGAGAAGACAGTCAACAGGAAAACATGACAGTATTAACTTGACTGCTTCTTGGAATAAGGTATACCAGTTGCAACATTTAGTCCATTAACAGCTCTGTATTAGTATAGATTTTGTTTTATCATTAAAATGATCCCACAGCATTATTTAGTGGATTAATCAATAATATAAATATAATAATAGAAGATGACTGTGGTAGAATTTATGATTTACTTTACTGCATTAATCAAAAACATTCAAACTATCTTATTTTTTTTCAGCCTTAACACATTTCTTATATTATCTACCAGTATATTTCTACATCTTAAAAACAAATGTTTATCGATGTTGTATCATAAACTCTGATATCCTGTCATAGAGGGATTGATCTATTGTGGCATCTCTGGCAGAGCATTAAAAATGTAACTTATTTTTAACTGCAGCCTTAAATTTGCAGCCTTCTTTAACATCAAGCTTTGCCTGACACTGTAACAAACTGTGTCTCCTCATTCCCTTCTGAAACGTTGAAAACATGGTGTCTGAACGTTGTTAATGTTCACAGTGTGCTTAGAAAAACAAAACTGTAGTGAATGAACAGCTGGCTCTGCACTGCTTTTATCTTTTTTTTTCCTAATATCTCAACTAGGATGACGTGATGCTTAACGACGGACAAAGTCTTGGAAATTGTGGCTTCACAAATCAAACAGCTCGACCACAGGCCCCAGCCACGGTGGGCTTAGCTTTTCGTCTGGGTGGTAAGCACCTCACTCTGTAATCAACCTCATATCAGCCCATTTGTGGTCTAGGTTTTAGTCGATCTGTAATTGTGATCTTGAGTAGCTCTGATTTTCTGCTGTGATGTGCATTCCTTTGGATTATTAATCCTCTTTCTCTCTCTCTCTCTTTATTTTCTTCTTGTTGTGTCTCTCTCTCTCTGTCGTCTCAGATGATTCATTTGAGCAGCTGAGGATTGAGTCTTTCTCCACTCCCCCAGAGCTCCCTGACGTCATGAAGCCCCAGGACTCGGGCAGCACAGCCAACGAGCAGGCTGTTCAGTGAGGGAGGGTGCAGAGAAACGATAGCGACGCAAAGGGGGTCCAGAGGGAGGATGCACGGGGGGAGGGAGGGGTTGATTTTTGGGAGGAGATGCCTCAGCGTGAGAGTTTTACCCTGCCGACAACAGACCTTCAGCTGGGCATAAACATTTTCAAACACGGATTCCCCTTGTGGTTAATTTGAGGGTGGGCGCTTCAAAGTGATTCATTTGTCCTGATATCGGTGAACGCATGCTAGATAAATTGATAATTTCACACAAGACCCTTCAGAGATACCTGACGGACTTGTCACGACACTGTCAGTCATCCATGGGATTGGTTAAGGCTGAACGTAAAGAATTGTACCTCGTATTTAATTAATTCTAGTCTTTTTGGGGGGTAAGGTTCTGCTGCCTTACTTGTGTTTTTTATTTTGCTGGCTTAAATGTGGGAGTTGATAAGGTGTGACATTTTTAGGCTTTTATGTTTGTGTGTTACTTTATTAAACTATTACTAGGATTTAACATGTTTTTGGTCTTCGGCCTGAATATGTGTTGCGACAATAGCTAGGAGTTTGTGAATTTCTGAGTTACTATCTGTATTTCAAGAAACTTTTGGACATCATGAATCTGAAAACAAAATAGATTCACTCATTTGGCAGAAGATCTGGCATTAAGATGAACATTTCTTGGTATTTTACGTATCAGTAGTTGTAGTTTTCATACTGTAGCTGCTCACAGAGGTTACTGAGACTGAATGCGCTCAGTTGTGGGTATCTACAACACAAGTAACACTGGTGTGGACCTGGTGTTGAAAATGAAATGATCCACAGGCAAAGCAGCAATCAAAAATGAATTGATAATGATTATTGATTTGTTTTCATTATTTTTTACCTTATTAACAAAAGGTGGAGACTAACCAACCTTCCTCTCCAGTGTTTGATTGTAGCCCATTACATCTTGGAGATGTTGATGCGTAGTAAACCTAAACCGCTTTAAGTTAAAACAAGTAGTTTATACTGTGCGTGTGAGTGGTGGGCTGCACATTCGACTCTTCATAATTCATCAATCATTGCTCTGCTAGGTTTAGTTCATGCTGCAACTGTGTTGTATTATACACCATGAATACCTTAATGCACAATGTTTCCCTAATATAAAAGGTGAATTAGTGGTAAACTCCTCTCCACATCCAAATATCAAATTGTATAACACTGGTTCTCACTATCCAGAAAACTACGATTAAAAAAAACAACAATCCCCCATTAGTTATGACAGGAAACTATTTTCTGACCTGGGGTGTTGAAAAAATAGTTGACAAACGCATTTAAAAATTGAGGCTGTTAAACAGTGGGACATGATCAAAGTTGCACTTGTAACTGATTTAACATTAAAACAACTGTTTTTCACCCTTTTGCACTGTGGTGTTTTGTATGCCGTTGTTGTCAATTCTAAACATGTTAACAGAACAGTACACTCTAATATGTACAGGAACTGTTGGATGAAAACTATTTAAAAAAAAAAAAAGATTTTGCTGATATGGGGAGTTGCAGTGACCATGTGGTATTTCAGGAAGGTCTGATATAAAATAAACGCTGGCAACCAGTCACATATGGCTTATGCTAAACTATCCTCCCTCTGAGGTGTTTCGAGATATTTAGTAAGTAGGTACCAGAACGATTTGTTTTGCAAGCTTCCTGTTTTGTTAACTAATGTAAAAGATAACCGTAGACGTACAGATCTGTGTAAGTATATATTATATTGGTTACAAAACTGCATCAGTTTATTCAACAAATTATTTATTCAATTAATGAACTGTCTGGTTAATAAAATGAAATTTGATTAATGCACTTCAAAATAAACCAGATCACATTTTGGAATTTTGAAAAAGCGAGTATTGTCAATTTTGTATGGAAGCCCATTTCTGCCAGTTAAAACAATAAAAATGAAAATAATAAAATCATAATGAGATAAAAAGTAAGTAAAAATTATGAGATAAAAAGTCAAAATAATGAGATAAAAAGTCAAAATTATGAGATATTAAGTCATAATAATGAGATAAAAAGTAAGTAAAAATAATGAGATAAAAAGTCAAAATTATGAGATATTAAGTCATAATAATGAGATAAAAAGTAAGTAAAAATTATGAGATAAAAAGTCAAAATAATGAGATAAAAAGTCAAAATTATGAGATATTAAGTCATAATAATGAGATAAAAAGTCAAAATTATGAGATATTAAGTCATAATAATGAGATAAGTCAAAATAATGAAATTATGAGGCTTTATTATTTTCTTTTTTTTTTTTACTGGCGGAAATGGACTTCCATAATTTTGCATGCCAAACTATAAATGAATAAACTATTCAGGAGAAAAAAAAATCCTATTTGGGAGTCCAGAAATTTGGACCTCTCCCTGATTAATTGGCAAACAGAAAACGCGACAAAACAAACGTAACTAATGAGCAAATTATATTAGTTGTTCCGAACTTTCCAACAGTACTTGAACGCATCGTCCATTAGTTAGCAGGCTTGCAGCCGGATTGTTTTGTAGCATTTTACTAGCATTGGTAACGGCTGCCTGGCTAAGCAGCAGCTGTTTGATGAACTTTTTGAATGCATAAATAATGCACTTCTTTTTTTGAAACAGTCTTAGCGGTTATAGATGAACTAAACGCATGGAAATGGATATTAGTGAGTGTGTGTTATCTGCAGGTAGAGCCGTGTTGGACATGGTGGAGCGCGAGTGGCAGCCTCTTTCCCCGGGCGAGCTGGAGCAGCGGCTGGATCAGGCTGTGGAGGAGATCTTGGAGGCTGATCTGATAGCAAAACTGAAAACTCAACCTCCTCCCAACTTATACGTCCAGTTACTTCCGAGTCAGGCTGATGTACAGCCCCAAGTTTTGCAGACGACAGCATCCAATTTTCAAGAAAAAGACGAGACCCCGGAAGATCTGCACACATCAGACCACTCTGCAGTCCAGGTACCAAACTTTCTGCTTCAAATCCTGAGACTGTTGATCTTAAAATAGCTGCACAAATCAAGCCAAGCAAGGAGGCAAGATCATAATATTACTCACCTGCAATGCACAAAAAAACAAGTGTTGTTATCTTCTTTTTTTTTAATATTCACTTAAGTACTTACAGTATTCAACCTATTGATACACATTTACATATAAAGTACATCAGTAGACATTGTCCAGTCCTTCTCAATTGAAACATTTTTGGCTTTCAAATAATTAATATAAACTCTTTGTATTTTATTTTTGTACCGTAATTAATACCAGTTTAACCGTACACACAGTTCAATCAACTGACTTACTAATGTTGCCTTTTTTTTAACAAAATGTTCTCATAATTCTTTTCTCATCAGTACATTGCGGACCTGCTTCAGAGCTCCAAATCCAGAACTCGAATGGCAGGACGGGCCTGTTTATCCCTGTCCCAAACCGTCCAGCTGTCCCTCACTCTGCTTTCTGAGCGTGTCAGCTACCGCTCTGTTTCTCACCGCTTCCACCTGGAGAAAGGAAACATCCACAGGATCTTCTTTTCTTTCTGTGAGCGCATCAACATGCTGGGAGAGAGGCTCATCAGATGGCCAGTCGGTGGGTTGACCGCAGTGTTTGTTCAAAATGTGTTGGGATGATCATTGCGGTGTTGTTAATGTATTTAAAAGGGGGGGTTTCTTCTCTTTCCTCCAGGCACTGAGGCTATAGAGGCCCTTGTTCCACTTTCCAGTCAAGAGATGGAGGAGGAGCAAGGAGTACCTCTAATCCTGGGAGTGTTGGGACACACCAGCATCCCTATCCGTCTGCCTATGGGGAAACATGATGTGGACAGCACTGTGCCTAAAGTAAAACGGATGAAAACCGAGGCGTATGCCGACTCCTGGCTCAACCTTCAGCTGGTATGTGACATCAATGGCCGGTTCTTACACTGCAGAATCAGCAAAGGGTCAGACGTGGACAGAGGCAGCGCTCTGAGAGACAAACTCAAAGACCATCCTGAAATGATGCCCTCTGGTTCCTGCCTCGTGGCCCAAGCCGGTTACCCGCTCTCTGCTCAGATTTTGACTCCATACTCAGGAAGCCTCGGACCGAGAGAGGAGCTCTTTAACAAAACGCTGGAGGGACATTTTCAAATACTGGATCAGGCGGTTGCCAACCTTAAAGCCAGATTTCAAAGGCTCCAATATCTTGATATCGGGAACTATGATCGAGCCAGAGTTGTTGTGCTGACTGCCTGTGTGCTGCATAACGTGTTTCAGGACATGGGACAGGTGGTACAAGGAGATGTTGAGAAGGAGGAAGCTGCATTCAGCGAGGTGGAGGGGGAGGTAGATGAAGAGGGTGTACAGAGACGTGACACCATCTCACAATTGTTGTTCAAGAACTTTGACTCTGGAAGCAGATGATGTGATAAGATCTGTCGAAAATGTTCTGTTTATGGATGTTAGCGTAAAGTTCTGTAGAATAAAAGATCGTTTTAACAGAATCTCTAGTAGTTTGGTTTGTCAGCACACAACACCAAAATCAAAATGAACAGAAGTAAATCTGGGAAATACAGAAGAACGACAAATGTTGATCAAGCCAAATGTCTTATCTGTGTCCAGAACAGTTTCAACTCCTGCTTTTAAATTTTAGTTTAGGAAATAAAACGTAAACCTACGATCATCCCAGAATAGACTCTTGGACTGATAATGGTTTATCGAATCAACAGGTAATATATTTCTAAACAAATAGAAGTTTATGAAACAGCCAATATACGCTTTGTGTATAATAGCAACAAATCGTGGTTTATTTACGGTGATGTTTTGTAACACGCTCTGGCGCACTAAATGGAGACACGGGAACATTAACAATGCAGAGGTAGTAAAAATGAATTCTGTTTAGTTTGATAACTCATTGGACTGGAACGCATCGTTAAGCCAAAAACAAATGTATCTTAACACATTTATCAACAGTTCTGATCTTAATCGTGTCATCTTGGAGAATATTTGAAATGAGCTGTAACAGGACATAAATATTGTTTTCACTTGTTTTTAAACTCCTAACTGCAACAACAAAAAAAAAAAACGATGTTGCAGTTCCTCACTGTCACCACAGGAAGTCGGGGAACTTTTTAAAGAGCGTTGAGACCAAACACAAAGCAAAAACTTTCCTTTGGTTTCTCATGCAAATAAAGCTGGTTTTTTTTGTTTTGTTTTTAGGCGCACAGGTTACCAAGCTTATCAGGTAGAACACCGATAATAAGACAGTCAAAAAAACAAAGTTTTAATTGCCTGTCCATGGCAAAATATTTATTTTGGGGAGGGGACATTTACAAAGAGGATATTAAATGCAGAATGTTTAATTGAAAGTTATTAATACTGTATAGTGTCTCAAAAAAAGCAGATTAAGTCATTAAAAGGGAAAGCTTTTTGGGGCGCTGGTGGTGCTGGTGGTGCAGTGGTTAGTGTGCGCGCCCCATGTATGGAGGCTATAGTCCTCCAAGCGGGCGGCCCAGGTTCACATCCCACCTGTGGCTTCTTTCCTGCATGTCATTCCCCACTCTCTCTCCCTCCCTGATTTACGACTCTATCCACTGTCCTATCTCTCCATTAAAGGCATGAAAAAGCCCCAAAAAAAATCTTTAAAAAAAAAGAAGTGAAAGCTTTTCTTTGAAAATGTATCTGACAGCTCTTAAGACTAACAATGTTAAGTATCAACATTATATATTTTGAATTTCCCTCGGGATCAATAAAGTATCGATCTATATGTGTTATTATTATTATAACTACACATTGTTAGGTTTTATTTTGAAGATACTTGATGATGACAATCATGCCATCATCATTTTGGTTAGCTTGTCGGTTTCATTCTTGTGCCTGCGATACAATAACATGTAACAGATATTGATATATTTGTATAAAAAGGTGGTACAGTGATGGAAGGGTGTCTGTATTAGACAGCAAACTATCGTACACTAATTCAGTACAAAAATAACTGACTTTTTCATCCAATGAAGCGTCAACAGAAAACATGAACTTTAAAGACCTGATGGTGGTTTAAACAGGAGTCACCCAGAGTATGTATGATTTGTTGGTCTTATTCTGAACTAATGATTTTGAAACATTTGACATGTGTCAACACAACCAATCAGCAAATGTAAATAACAAACATTCTATTTTTCTCTCTATGTGCAACATTATAAAAAAAAAGTCTTTGGTAAGAGCTCATGGAAGTTCAGATACCCTTCCCATCGCTTCTGGCCTAATGTCCATCTGTGGTGCTGCTCTTCTGAGCCAGGCTGGAGATGGCCTGTGCCAAATTGTTAATGGCCTCTATCTTTCTCTCCTCCAAGTCTTTCTGTTGGGCCCACATGTTCATCTTCCTCTCCTGCAGCTCCATGTACAGCTGTAGGACGTCCTGGGGAGGCCTGGGAGCGCAGGGGGCAGCTGTGGCAGGAGGTGTAGGGAGGATAGGGGTGAACCTCTTGCTAGCTATGGCTCTGGCTACTCTGGTGCCACTGAGCTTGGCCCTTCGTTGGGCTTCAACCTCCTCCCTGCTCTTATCCAGGACCTCATGCATGGCACTGAAGAACTCCCAGTGGACGCTGGCTGCCCCGAGCCTCTTGGCCCTCTCAGCATTCCTCCTGTACGTCGCCAGTATGTTTCTCCACTTAAGATCACACTCATAGGCCTTCACAGCCACATCGGTGGCATCTGCCTCTCTCAGCTTTGCGTTCACCTTCTCTGCCACCATTTCCCAAAGTTTCTTTTTCTTGCACACTGGCTGGTCAAAAACTTGGTCCATTTCAAGTCTGGTGTTGACAAGGTGCCATGTTGCCTGCAGTGTCCATATAAATTCTAGAGGGGAAACAAATGTGCATGAATGTGACTTTCTTCTGAATCTCTTACAAGTTTTTACAGATGATAATCTTTGACATCACTGGTCTCATTGAAATGTTATTTATTACCAGTTTCATTATTAACAATTAATTAATTCATGACGATGCTCACAGCAGAGACTGCGCACACAGACTGTGTGAATAATGCCCTCCTCGCTTAATGCGAAGTCACTAGATACAACATGTTTCACTTCAGTGTACAAACCTGCTTTGGATTTATCCGTGTCCACACTGGACACGACCGTTTCCTTTCCTTCCACTTCAGTGCTTTGTATCACAATAGTCTCGATTACCTCCATTATGTTATATCGAGACAAATAAATTAAGTCTAAGTTGTTATTTTTTCCATAAGCGGTGTATCTACCGTGGAATTTAACAACCTTTCAGAGACAGCGATGCAGCGACACGCGTCGAATAAAACGATGACTAAAACAACGTCACTCGGCAGCATGGGAAGTGTAGTCCATTTGGTTGTTTAGTGACGGACCTTTACGTTATCTGGTGTACTAGCTAAACTACAATCCATAAACGTTGCGACCTTTTTACGTCATTCTACCCTTTGTCGTTGTTATTGGAAATGTAGTTTTTTTTAAAGGAGGACATTTTGGACGCGTATGCGAATGCAGCGAATTTAAACTACAAGTCCCAGGATGTGTCTACCGCCCCACCTCTTAACTCCCTGCTCCCTCCCTCGTTCGCCCCTGTTTTGTTGTTTGGCTAAAGATGGCGTTAGCGGCTAACACAGACGATTGCAAAAAATTTTCAACAAAATTATTCGACCAGTGGTAACAAAACATGGATCAAAAGGAACTTAAATTCGTCATTCAATGTGTAAACACACGGTATATTGAGAACAAGGCACGTCCATCACGTAGAATAACGCTAGTTCGGCCTTCGCACGATGTAGGCCTGTTTTAGAGGGAGTGGACCGAAGCTGTTGGAACTCCATCTCCCGTCGGCGAGTGCGGCGTCAGGTGGTACAACTTTTCCTCTTCCATGGTATCTGTAGTTCTTTTTTTTTTTTTTTTTGACTACATCAGAATGTCATTTTTTGGAAACTTAAAAAAAGAAAAATCATATGGGAAACATGTCAAGCAGTTTAGTAATAATTCAACATGATAGAGCGTGTGATTTAATTTATGAGCATTTCTCTGTGTACGTTCAGTAATGCTTGACAGTGTGTGTGTAATACCTGTCTGAACTGAGAGGAAGAAAACTAAAGTAACTGAACAAGTAGCCTGCAAGGCAGAGGACCATGGCTGCATCACCTGTTCAAGGTGACTGGAAACAATCCCGAATAACCTCCAAAGAAGGGAATCCATCACCAGAGTCGTCTTTGACCTGGTGCTTGGCTCATCTCTCCAAACCCAAATCAGGGGCTGAACCCCACGGGCATGGAAAGTCTGACTCAGGTGGGGGCAAAGATGTGGATAAGAGGGCCGCAGTCTCTCAGTGGAAAGCCCTGGTTGCTATAAGGACCAAGCACATCAAAGGTGACAAGGCTGGCATTGCAAGATTCAGAACTCAAAGTGGTCTACGGCCCCTTCTGGACCTGCTCAAAGACCCAGAGTGCTCCAGGAAAACTCTGGACTTGGCTCTTAGCATCCTGGCAAACTGCTGCACTGAGCTGCAGACGCGTATAGAGGTAAGAAAAAAAGTATTCATTTAGTATTTAAAGTCGTTCATCTATAAAACCATACGTTAAAAACGCTCACATTGTGGAATGTCTGCCACTTTAGGTCCGTAAACTGGATGGAATAAGTATTGTAGGTAAGTGGTCATTATACATTCCTAAAAGGGCTTTATAAAAAGAAGGTATAATCATGGCTAATATCACGTAATCTTTGAATAACAATGACTTTTTTTCAGTGGAGATCCTCAAGAGGAATGTGGCACAGGTGACTGTCCAGAATCGAGCAGCCCGCGCTATGGGAAACTTGGCCATGGATCCAGAGAGCTCTGCGTTAATCCACTCTGCTGGTAAGTCTGACACGCCGGCATGTCTCACAGCATCATTTTCTGTTAACTGACAGCTGGTTGAATTGTACTGTTAAGAAGCAGCAGATTAGTATTTATTGTGCAGAAGGTTCAACAGTAGTGTGTATGGCCTCAAAAACTTTTGATATCATCTGTGAAATTACTTTGTTGATATATTTTATTATTCCCCAGATTAAAACTCTTCACACTCTTTTTTTTTTTTTCTTTTACAGGTGGTGTTCCTCTTCTACTCCTCTGCTTATCTCATTCTTCTGCCCCATCGTCCCCAACTGCTGCCCCACCCAAAGACCCCTGCCCTAAACTGGAGTGCGCTCAGTCAGCTGCCCGTGCTCTCCTCTACCTCTCAGATACCCCCTCTAACCGCCTGTCACTGCTCACCCAAGGGACCTTGTCTGCTCTCGCACCTCTCATCGCTCCGGAATATCCCCAGGGGCTGAGGCGGGTGGCGCTAAGGACCCTCCACGAGCTGACCCGGGGTTGTGGTGTTGAATGCGCCAGGGAGGTGTCCCGCTCTGGAGTCCTTGCTCAGCTTGGCGTCATGGCCACAGCGGAGCCTGTTAAACCTTTTGAGGAGCTGGCACTAAAAACCCTGGCCAACTTGTGCTCCCAAGGCTGCCTGCGTCCCCTTGTGGGGTCTCTGGGAGCCATTAAGAAATTCACTGAGGAGGTCAAAAGTGATCCACTGAAGTCAGGAGTCTTCTTCAAGGCGCTGTGCTTGTGCTGCAAGGAGGCGGTTAACCGTGCCAAAGTGAAGGAGAGCAGTGGATTGGAGGTGCTAATTGGCTTCTTGGCAGCCCATCAGAGTCACCCCCTTTCCAGGCTAGCAATCCTGGCCTTTGTGGACTTTGTTTTTGATGAATCTGCTATGGAGCAGCTGCAAGAGTTAGGGCTGGTCCCCCTGCTCGTTGCACGACTAGTCGAGCTCAGCAGAGGCGAGGAACAAACGGCTGAGAAGACAGATGTTAACCTCTCCTCCAGCATGTCTCCCACTGAGCTCCTGCCCTCGACATGTTTCGACTCCTTTGACTTTCCTCCTCCCGAGGGCTTCAAGAAAGAAGAAGCTTCTAAGGAGCAAAGTCTTTGTTCATCAAGTTTTTTGAGTCTCAGGTAAGAAAATTAGTTTTCAAGTTATTAATATGATTAAATATCCTAATTTTACTATGTTCTATTGATCATTTACACTCTGATTGTTCTCTGTTCAGGTCCTGGTTGATGTCTGAGGGTTTGATCTCTTCAGAGGGAGACCTTCTGGACTCACCTGGTGCCGATGGCGAATGGGGGAGTCTGCAGATCCCGGCGTCTTCGTCACCTCAAACCTCCTCCCCGAACCCATATTCCCTTCCCCCCCTTAAAAACTCTCCATCCAACCCTATTGCCTCATCAGTTTCTAAAAAGGTGTCATCTTCAGCCAAGCCAATGCCAAACACATTGAAAATCCCCGATCCAGCTCCTTCTAGTCCTCAACCTTCCAGTGCATCAACACCACATACACATGCCAGTTCCTGCACCATCTCCTCTCCCACTAAAACAACTCAAACACCAGTGTCTCCATCCAAATTCTCCTCTCCTCACAGGAGGAGGCAATGTGCTCAGTCAGCAGTTAATCTGACTAAATTCAACTTAGATACCCCTCCCTCTGTGTCCCGCCCAATGGCTTACCACCACCCCTACCACCCTGAACCCTGGACGCCCGAATCACCCATCCTGCTGCTGCTGTCCCGTTTCTCCCACGCCACAGATCCGAGCGCTGCTCTGGTCAGCTCGGGCGTCATGACCGGCTTGCTGCACTACCTCACCGAGCACCCGGACCCAAGCAGCAGGTGCCTCAGAATGCTCTGCAGACTGAGCTGCAACCCAAACTGTTTGCAAGCGCTGGTCCGCACCGGTTCGGTCGCACTGATTCATCACCACCTCTGCCAGAGAGAGGGGGGATTAGAGGGCGAGGAAAGGCAGACGAGCAGAGTGAAAGCCAAAGTCAAGCAACTTGGTAAGACACAGGGCTTGGTGTGTAGTCATTTCTACCACTAACTCTTTAAATTAGAGAGTTATTATTTGACCTACAAACCTTTTCTGTTTAACTTCAGTTGTGAAAAGAAAACCTGCAGGAGCTCACTGCCTTTAAAAACGTATAGACATTTCACAATTAATGATTACTGTAGTACTAGTAGTGTTGTGATAATTATTGGTTTAATCATTAAACTTGTTTTTTTTCTGTTTAAGTGTGCACCAATTAACAATTTCAGACCTCAATAACTTAAAACATTCCCCCTTTTTGACACAACTATAATTAGAAATAGTTCAATATAAGTAAACACAATATGTTTTTATTTATATACAAGGGTCCATAACTCTTCAACCCACTATCTCTGTAGGTAATACTCTTCTTAATAATCTGCGAGTCCAGTGTGAGTCTGGGTTTGGGTCCGGGGTTCTGGCCCATGTGACGCTGTCAGGCTCAGAGTCAGACAAGATGAACTGTGCGCTGTCTCTTCCGTTAATCAACAGGTGAGTGGTACATCTTCATCATTATGAGCTCAGTTACATGAGATTCTATACATGTCATGTTTGTAAGTGGTTCATGGCCCTCGTCCTTTTCTTCATGGCGCCATTGATTATATTCCTGTTGTCACAGTTTTACAATTTTCTTTTAAATGCAGTTCAGAGAATTGTTTCTATTTGTGTTGTACAAAGGTGATCCAGATGATGGTCCTCAAAGACTTGCGCTCTTTAAATGTTCTTTTTCTCAACAGCAACAAGTCCCTGTTGAAGAAACTTCTCCTGGACAGCGGGGGGCTGCTCTTGGCTCTACAGCCACTTGGTTGCCATGAAGATGACGAAAATGAAGACCACCCGGCTGACTGTAGCAAGTTGCCCTCTGAGTGGTTAATCTCTCCGAATTCGGGCATGACTTCTCGGCACCACTCGCTGTACTTCTCCCTCCTGTTTGGATGCCTGTCCACCCTGATGAGTGGCAGTAAAATAGAGCTCTACAAAAAACATCTAAGACTGGATACATCTCCATCGGACATTAAGACAGACAGAGATTCACCTCCTCCCTCCAAAAGGCCTCGCCTGACTAACATGTGTCCGTACGGAGACTCAGACTTTGACCTCCTGTTGCTGCTGGACGACGGGACTCGGGTCCCAGCTAGCAGGGAGGCTGTGGCTGGGGCTGAAGGCACAGGCAGGGTCGGCTCTGAATACTTCAGGGCTCTGTTGAAAGGTGGTTTTGGAGAGGCTCAGGCTAGTGCAGACGAACCCATTCACATTAAAGATGTCAGTGTAGGTATCCTGCTACCAGTTCTGCATTACCTGCACGGATGTCGCTTTGTGAAGGACGTAGAAAACCAAAAGGAAGGAGATGAAGAAGGAAGAAAAGGAAGGTGTCAGGTTTTGGAGAAATTAGTCTTTGAAGGTCTGGGAATCTGCCCGAAACA